AGCAAAGACAGTGTTTGTAATTCCTGGTGGGCCAACTCCTACCTAGCTCTTCTGTGGGAAGGTAATTTCAGGAGGCAGGACAGGATTTGGCCCAGCCCTAACAGCGAAGACAAAAGCTGTACAGACCACAGAAATCTCACATGGGATGTATTCATCCCGCTGTAGCTTGTTAATTCGTGGCTTTGCTTAAGCAGAGACTCTAGAGTAGTGACAAGAATCACTGGGATAAATTCTGGGGCCCCTTAACTGAGCAACGTTAGTCAGGGTTTGAATTGAACTGAGGATTTAGATCTGAAATATTAATGTTCTTCCATGGAATACCAGAAAGGGAGGGGTAGAATAAGAGCACGCTCTCGGTCTAGCAATGGAAAAAGGCCAAATCTGGTCAACTTTAAAGTGAACTGCGATTTATAACAGAGGGTTTTGGGTGTAAAATCTTGAAGATAAACTTTTTCCCTTCCATTTTGAATTCTGAAAGGTAATTATTTTCTTGTTAATAATTGGACTGCTCATGCAGAGGAGACATCTATATCTTAAATAGCACGAAGAGGTACACCTCCGACTGATAAGTGAGAAACTTCACCTCCTTAACAAAGGGATATTTGAAAAAATGGAGGAAAATGTCACAAGAAAATACTGTACAAAAGCATCCTGAATTTATGCACCAAAAGAAAAAAGAATTCGGAGTCAGTGTGATCCCTGGTCGAGTGAAGGCTTTCCTCCGGGAAGACCCCCTCTGATCCCCAGTTGGGCAGGCGGGCGTTTCGCCCTTGGCCGCGGCGCATACCTCTACCGCGTGGTTTAGGCAGAAGAGCGACGGAACGGTCTGGGTAGTCCGTTCGGCACGCTGCCCGTAACTCTTTAGTTTTTAAAACAACTCATTATTAAGCAAATGTGTAGAGTATTAAGGAAATCTGTAGAGTGTGTCTGACCGTATGAGTGTGTGGGTGCTGTGCCGTGGTAAAAAGAGACTAATTGGTTTATGCGGTTTGTTTTGCATACTTTAGGCTCCCGTATGGGGTTTTTTTTCATTGGTATTTATTTCTCAGCAGAGCTTAGAATAATTTTAAAGCTGTGTAACACATGATTTAATGAAATCTATTGTCAGCGTCTGTTGTAAGCCTGTGTTTACAGGACAAACTCTTGAATACTTGATATTTGGAAATAAAAAATAGCGTATCGAGTGTGTTTTGTTTCTGACAAAAGAAAAAGGAAAAAAAGTGACAAAAAGGGTCCGTGGGTCGCTGTGCAATCGTTCTGGATCAGGTGACAACGTATTAGGTCTTTCAGTGTGTACTCAGACAAAACCAGGTATTTCCACTGAACTCAGTCACCACCGAATCACAACGAAGTCGTGATTGTGCGGAAATAAACTGTAAAATTCCAGAGTGACTTCTAGTACTAAATTTGATTGTTATTAGTTAGATGCTAAGAAATACAAATTTGCTTGAAATAGGTACTGACTGTTGGAAAAAATATATAGGGTTCGTGTCTACGTGCGTCTGTGCTGCTCAGGAAAAGAGAGCCGGGACATGAACTGAAGGACTGGACTCCTCGCGTCATCGCTGTGTAGCGACGGCGTCACTCCTTGGCTCTGACTTGGACCACACCAACGGGCTACCTCCGTGTGGTTTCTAGGGAAGGGGTCCCACCTGTCAGAAGTGCCGGAGCCAGGTTTGGTGCTCCCTGTTCCTACAGCCACCCAGTACCGCAGGCTGTGTGCGGCAGGGACCCCAGTGCCCTCACGCGGCACCGCGGCGGCTGCAGCACGCGCCACGGTACCACGCCGTAAGAGCTCCGCTGGCTGCAGCGCAGGGCTTGTGTCACCGCAGACGTTCAGCCGTGGAAACCAGCGGAAATCGTGTGTTGAATCCACAGGAACATCAGCACAAAGCCAAGGGGAGACCCAGGGCTAAGCACTGCATAATGTGGAAGGGGCCAGCCTGGTCTAGCAGCGTGGACGTGACCTTGTTTGTACAATTTGGTTTTGGAGCTAGGTTTTCTACTCTCTGGACTCACTTTTGTTTGAAAGTATGGATGAGGGCCTACAAGGAAGCTGGGGGGGACTTTTACAAGGGTCTGTAGTGACAGGACAAGGGGGAACGGGTTTAAATTGAAAGTGGGGAGGGGTAGATTAGATGTCAGGAAGAAGTTCTTCACGGAGAGGGTGGTGAAGCACTGGAACAGGTTGCCCAGAGAAGCTGTGGATGCCCCATCCCTGGAAGTGTTCAAGGCCAGGCTGGATGAGGCTTTGAGCAACCTGGTCTAGTGGAAGGTGTCCCTGCCCATGGCAGGGGGGTTGGAACTAGATGGTCTTTAAGGTCCCTTCCAACCCAAACCGTTCTGTGATTCTATGATAAGGTCTCCCCTGAGCTTCCTCTACTCCAGGCTGAGATTACATCCTGTGTTTTCCAGTGTGCTTTCCAGGGGTAGGCATCTCATCATCTAGCATTGCAATGACTGATTTTTGAACACTTAGGTTAACCATTGGTCCCCTTTCCGGATTCCAACAAACATCACCTGTAAATTTATATCTGCAGGAGCATCAGTGTCCTGGGATTGTATAGAGGGAGTTTTCAAAAAGCGTATCTTCAGAGGCTGATTTTATCTTATGAAGCTAATCTTATTCACAGGCCACCAAAGAAACGCAGAGTGCAAGTAAAAGAGAGTTTACCTTGAAACCTAAACTCCCTTTTGCAAAGATGTGTGGGAGGAGTTACTCCTGACTAGAGATCTGTGGTCCATTCGCGCTAAGCCCCCTGTGTGTCCGGTCTGCGCTTTGCCGTCACAGGGAGAGCTCTGCAGGGAAGAGGGAAAGTGGCAAAGCTGGGGATGGCACCGTGTAACAGGGCTTTACTCCTGGGAACTGCCCGTTGTGCAGCTCGGTGCATTGACCTCAAGGAAAAAAAGGATCAGGTGAATTCACAATGTAAAAAAAAATCACAGCATGTCTTAAACAAAAAATATATATTATTCACACTCTCCAGGAATAATTTATAACTAACAGAAGGTAGTGTGTTATTTCGTTACCCATTGCTTTAAGTGTGGATGGATTCTTAAAAATGGAACCGTTAACATATTTTAAAAATAAATCTTAATTAGCAGGAGAACTGGATCATCTGGACTTCTCTGAAGCAGGTAAAGTAAACCACTTTTTATTTCAAGAAATATTGCTTCTAGACTTTCCCGAAGCCAGAATTGTTCTATAAAAGTATCACAGAAATATTATACAGGATTTAAAAACACAGTCTGTATCCTAGTAACTTAAAACCTATGTACAAGTAGCATCATTCATGACCATAAATACGTTTTTCTATCAGTCAGCCCATGACACATACATCAGGTAAAGAGCTAGTAATTTTAACATATGTACAGAGTCCATCAAAAAGACTGCATCTTAAAATTATTAATATCCTACTAAAAGAATCTCCTTTTTAAAAAGTTTCAACTTAAAACACAATGCAATGAATGTAGGTTTAACCTGCAGTGCTTACAACAGCCAAAAATTACTCACTACACTAAATAACATGTAACAGATAGGAAACACACCCGTGAATTGGAGACTGTGGAATTACATGTGAGGTAATTCTCTTTTGTTGTTGTTGTGCTAATTATTTAGTAATTTGTAAAAATGCAAGGGAAGATAGCACGTTTCGAGTAATACAGATTTTCAAAATAATTTTTTGCCTTATACTTTATAAAATTTAATGTTTGGTAAAGTTCAAGAAAAAATTCAGAATACAACAACAAAAATAATCTAAACTACTATTTTTTTACCTCATACGCCTTTTGCATCTAGAATAATGTAAATCTAACATGGTTTTGTCATTCCCTTTAATGCCTGTTCAAAACAAAACGAATTTAAGCCTCAAAATTCTAATAATGCTTTCAAGATAATGTTCAGGATAATAAAAACCAGATGTGGTGACAAAAGCATATATGTGTTGATGTAAACCTTTCTACCAGTATCAGGAAAAAAAAAAAAAAGGTCAAAAACCCGTGTGGATTTTTAATACTGACAATACCAACATACAGGGAAACAATCCAATTTAAACAAATCCTCCTACAGTTAACAATCATTAGCCATACCTTTCTGAGAATAAATTTAATTAAATCAAAGTAACAAAAACATGCAATATTTTTGCTAAAATAATATTTGGAGTCTGCTTCCACAATCCACGCTGATCACCTCTTTCTTGTTGATCTATTTATTGGTTCCTCAATTACATGAGGCGACGAGCAAACTAAGGACATGTAAGGTATTAGATTCGTAAATGGTATGGCATACAGATTGTAAAAGTGCTTTTTACTCAGAAGTGTGACATTAGGAGTTTCCAGTGGTTAAAATAATACATGAAAAAACATTATGGAGACAGATTGGGTGGGCTGAAACATTCATTCATGGTGGGATCATTTGGAAATGGAGAAAGTAACTTGAAGTTCCTCTTTGAAGAAATAATTTCTAGATTTTTTTGAAAACGCGCTACTGCATTTGAAAGTTAACACTGTTTCTTTTCCTCAAAACCTGGAAATCCTGCTTCCCAGTGGGGAGAATTACTGTGAAAATATGTGCGTGTGAACAAAACAAGTGCACACAGATGAATACTGAACGGGGCTCAATTTGGCTGCAAAACGTATCTAAACGTGGAATGTCAGTTGTCGTGATTACCTTCGTTAGTTTGCTAATAAGAAAAAGGAGAACTTATTCAATGGTTTACAACTTGATCTAATCCTGGGAGAGCGGAGCTGAGGCACTGCCTTCTACGTTTAGGATTTGTGAAGTTTCCCCTGCAAGACTCTGTTCCTTTAAGAAAGTTCCTGTTTTCTGGGTACCGATAGGTGAATCCTTAATGGATACGTTTACAGCCTGAGGAACGAGGGGTTCATCGGTCCTCACAGGAAGATATAGCTGATCTTCAAATATATCTTCCACAGCGTCACTGTCCTGACGAGTGTCTTTTTGAGGAATGCTGATGGGTTGTAGCATGAAGCTATGCCGGGACTCCAACTCGATCAAACCGTTCCCACTGAAATCCATATCAAAGCGGTCCGATTCTTTATCCTCCATCCGTTTCTCAGCTTGATGAGTATTTCTCCAGTGTGCGTCATTCAAACTACTTTTTTCAGGAATATCGTTGTTGAATTCAAGTTTCCCCTCATGACTTAAATGCACTGTGCTCGAAGTGAGGGCCGCAAAGTCTGTTGGCACAATAAGCCGCAGCTCTTCCGCAGGCAGGCCACTCGATCCGTCGGCAGAAGTCATTTCCACCGAGGTAAACGGCGTGGATGATTCGTCCCCCTCGATTCGAGCAGTGTTAGCCTCATCTGTTTTATTTTGCTGGTAGTAACTGTTCAGCAGTGCAAACATTCTATCTACATCCTTCAAGTAATTAGTCCAGTCAGCCAGACTAAGTCTATAGTTGTGTCTGTATTCATATACACTTTCATTCACACTGTACAAGTCTTCCAGCCCTTGCCAGTCGACGTCACCGGTGAAACTGGGCAGGTTAGCCTTCCCATCCATCCCATAACTGTCCTCTGTTGAAAAAAAGAATAAAGCCTAATGGTGAAGACCAGCTTAGAAGTGCAAGCAAAGCTTCCGCGTGTGTTTCTACTCCCAATTTGCTTGAAAGCACTGCTATTCATAACGTATGTAGCTCAAAATGTAAGATGCTCCACATCTTTGTCATCCTATTAATGATTCTGGGCTCAGGTGTGTTCACAGCTGCTGCTGAACACACAGCAAGAATCTCCCTGTCTTCCGCTACATCCTTGGGCTGAGTAAAAAAGAGCAAAATTTGGTGTAATGGGGCTTTGTGATGACAGTCAGAGATCCGTCTTTCATCTTTCAAGACAGGAAATGTGCTTCAATACACGAACAATCCACTTGTCTTTCCTGAATACTCCACCAAAATATGGAATAAGTGAACAACTGTGGAGTATAAAAGATGGGACTAACTCCAAAATCCATTAGTTACCAACTTCAGCAATGCCCACGGGAATTTGTTGTCTGGGTAGCTTGAGACATATGGTCTGCAAACCAACCAGCCATGTTTTATGTAATAAATGATAGCCAAAGGTAGTATTTTGTTTACTTTGTAAACACTCAATTTACTTGGAGCAATTAGGAGAAAGAAACTGTAAAAAATTAGGAGGAAAAAAAGCTGTAAAAACTTGGTGTGAATTAATTTATAGGACCACACCACTCTGTAAAATAGTGTTAAATATACAAAGATGTAGAACCTCCTGAATGTTTTCTTTTTGTTTACTTAAAAAAAGGGGTTTGAAGAAAATGTCTAACAGCTTTACCAAATAAGGTTTGAATACAGGGCATACGTATGTCTCTTAAGTAGCAGTGGAGCTGCATTTCATATCGATCACGGCCAGAAAAAGCAAAGACATGAAGGAGACCCATTTCCAAAAGATTTTTAAGAGTCACTACAGTGACTATAGTGACCCAGATTACTGTGTGTAGTGTGCAATTATATTGACAAGTAACCCTGAACACCACTATTTCATTTAAACCACTGCACAGAGTGTGATTTTATCAACAAAGTGGACTACAAGGCAAAACTAATCAGGTAATGCAAAAGCCTGGCAGGAAAAGTGGCAAACTTGTCCTTACAAGTGATGTTGTAGGCAATATCTGGTGATGAGTTCACTGAGATGACTTACTCTTTCTGAAAACTGTACAGCCAAGTAGGCCAGTGGTAATTACCTCGGAAGTTCAAGTGGCTATAGTCAACAACATGAACTGAGTACAAATATTTATCTATATTGAACCTTTCAACCCTACGGTGGGATTTTGGCATCTCCATTAATTTGTTTGCATTTTCACTTGGCCCTTCTCATTGTTCATGTTAAACAGAAGGTACAGCTTGTGTCTGTCATACCTTATATTCCTTGCTTCTTTACTAGCTTGGGATTTGGCAGTGGAAAAGAATTTCTCCGCTATTTAGTCTATCATATGAAAAGTCAGGAAAGTATCACTATGACCAGATAAAACCTTGAAATTTTCTTATGATGAGGGGCCTTATTCTGCTCTGAAGGGAGACCACTTTCCTTACTTGGAAACACCTGAATCTTTGATCTTAATTGGTATTTCTTCACATAAAGGCTGTAAATATTTTACAACATAACAATTACATATCTTATTTTTGTAAGGTGATTTGCAAACACTTGGCTAAAACTCCCTATTGCAGGAAGCAACACAAGCATTTTGGATCCAACAGGACTGCTATGACAGAGGTTCTTCCTTCTTTCTTTTCCTGAAGTAGACAAGAGAAATAAAGTCGTGGCGTGGCCACATGAGAACCATCTTCATAAGACAAATTATGGAAAATTTGTTTCCTGAAACAAAAAATAATTAAATACTGCAGAGGTTTCAAGAAAAAAGGTCTCGCTACTCCAGCTCGGAGAGGTATAATGGGCCCTAGAAAATGTCATACAAAGGGATGCATTTTTGAGGAATTTAGTCACCAAACCCTCTAAGATATTAACCACACTGCAAATGCGACAATATTTGAATTTTGCTCTGTTAGTATTCATATAACAAATACTAATATTTGTTAGTATTTTAAATATTTTTAAATTCACAAATATTCAATCTGATAGTTTCCTTGTTTTTCTTTGCCAAATCAGAGCCTGTACAGGAAGACAAACCACTGTAGCAAAGTCACTGGCCAAAATGATTTGGTATGTGACAGCAGAAACAGAAACTAGGATGCTGCTGTTTGAGCAGTAACAGGTCTGGGGATGGACCAGAGCAATGGGGAACAAAGCAGGGGCCAGAAAGGTGCCTTTGGGCCCAGAGGAACCTCTGGTCCCTCTCCCAGGCGGCAGGACAGGGGCTTGAGCTGGGCAAGCCCGAGTGTTGGGGTGGGCAGAGGAGAGGTGTGGGGAGCAGTGAAGGGGGACAGGATTTCTCAGCAGCCTCCGCAGCAACAGGGCAATGGGGCTGTGCTGCAGAGAGGCAAGATCAGCAAGGATTTTGCTGCATTCCTACAAAATAGCTCAAAGCCTGGGTCAGAGCTACATGGTCCTTCATGATAGATCTACTTTTTCCCCTCTAAATGTGGCACGGTTTCTGCAGTCTTGGAGGAGATCCACAGGTGGGAAGGCACTGAGAATTGTTCAGTGATCTTCATGTCAAGCAGAAAAAAATAACTGGTTTAAACACGTGGGACAGAGGTAACTTGAATTCATACATGTTAGATAGGAAAGCAAGGACTTTAGGTCATAGAGCTGGCTGTGTGTTGGTTGACTGAGTCACCTCACAGCTTAATTCCACAATTTAGCCATAAGCATGATAAGTTTCCCACTGAAATCCAAGCATACAGTGGGAAGGAGAGAGGAAAGAAAAGGTTCCCCCTGTAAGAAATCTCATTACATATAGGTGTGAAACGGGAAAGTGCAGAGGAGTTGCGTTTGAGTAACAGCGCGGCAGTCGTTTCCTCAGTCAATATTTTGGAATTCCTCAGCTATGTCATAGACCCAAAAGAGAGAAAAATTGTTGCTAGCTGTTCACAGTAAAGCATCTTCCAATTTCTAAAAATCAATCATTAGCTAAGCTGCACTCTCCAATCATCATGCCCCAGCGTCCCATGATGGCATCCATGGCTGCATTGTCTCAAAACCAGTACAGGACCGGGATGTATCTCCCCTGAGACCAAAGACAAGTAGGTACAATCATCTCCTTGGTGGCTTTGAAAAACCTCAGACAGGCAGGAGAGGAGAGAGAAGCGTGTAATTCCCCCACCCTGTTATCAGCCACGTCTGCAGAGTTGTTCTGTCCATCAAAGGACGGAGGTGACAGGAGTTCTTCCCAGTTGAAGCGCTCTCCCTGTGTCTTAAGCAAACAGCGCTGTACTGGTTGTTCCCATACAGGCCTGTTGTCTCAACAGTGTACTCTTAACGCCTGCAGCACTGTACTAATTCAGGACATTTTGAACTGGAAACAGGTCTGGGTGGATGAACTGCACGATCTGAAGGAAGCCTAAGGGGTAGTTCAGATGACTTTGCAGCACAGGGCTTTCCTTTTCTTATTCCACTGGTTCCTCTGCAGGCATCAAGAAAATGATCCTCTAAGAGATTGTTTTAGTGACTCTTGATGAGAGAGTGTTGTTCATTTAAAAAAAAAAAAAAAAAACAAACAGTTTTAGAAAAGAAAATCAATTCCCACCAAGATGGGGCTTGAACCAGAATGTCGAACCCAGGCGTCTGTGTGTAATGAGAACCCGGGTGTCTGGAACGTGACGGCACAGGGCGGTATCACTTGTGGTACGCTATACCTGCGATTTAGCCCAGCAGCATAATGTTTGCTGACCTGCTATCAGAAGTTAAAATGTTTTCATTGCTCGACAGTGTAGCAAGATATAATTTAAAGATTAACCCTGTGTGATCTCCTATTTCATGCAATCCTACAATTCAAAAATGCCATTTCTGTTAGATCTGTAGTAAAATGAGGAATGCTTACAAGGACATCTTCTAATGAAAGACCTAAAGCATAATTACTGGGATTACTTCCTGTCATTGTACTAACCAGTTCCCACCAGGCTGTAATGAGCAATGCCAGCAATTGGGATATAACCAAATGAAAGCTTACTGTTTTCCTAAATCCCAAAACTATTCAAGTGAGAAATTATAAAATTGGCTACAAGGAAAAGTTAACAGTTTAAAATAGAGATCTATAAAACTTTGAAATACATTATCTTAATTATTGTCTGGCTGCTGGGAGCTAATGACAAGGTTTTTTTCAGAAGACCCTGTGAAAAAAAAGAATTATGTGCACTTGTATACTCCTCGGATCCAGATCTCAGGCAAGTAATGTATATCAGGAGCTACTCCACCAAAATGCATGGATTTGAAAATGTATAAAACTGATATACTGTGAGAAGGTATCAAGTCTAAATATGACACTTGACAGATGACTTCTAATCTGTTTTTTCCCCTGAGTTCAAGTATTGCTCACTGAAGAGCAAGTGCAGTACTGTTAAGACCCAAGTTTGTCAGTCTCCAGGGTTTGGCTTTACGTTTGACAGGTTCCTGCACCAGGAGGAACTGTACTCTGCACGATAAACATGTAGGTATGATAAATACACTTGCAAACTGATGAATATACTTGGAAACAGCAGTCTTTCATGTATTCCTCAGGTTCAAGCATTAGGTATGAAAAACGCCTCTCCTGGTGCCCTTCCTCAGTTCAAATATTACATTCCTTTTAAGAAATTTTGTTTCAGGCGTGTGTTATCTGGTCTGAAAGCATTGGCTCCCCACCCAAAGCAGCCTCATCTTTCTGCCGTACTTCTATTGCCCTGTCTCCTGCTGGCTTTCGAGCACGTGCTGCTCACATTGAGCACTCACTGCTTTCACTTAAAGCAGCGTCAGCCAACATTGTCCAAAGCCAGTAAGATTTTATTTTACTTCCATAAGTTTGATTAAGCTCTTTGGATACAGATACCTCAGAAAGGTTTTTTAAGCACGTTTGGATTACGTTTAAAAAGCAGCTGTACAGATTTCCTAAATAAAACCAGAAAAAAACCCCAACATCCAAAATCAACCCAACAACAGGAAAACAACCCAAAAGAAGCGATTCTTTTTGTGTCATTTTCCCTGTGCAAACACCTAAGAAATACAGGCATGAAATATGAGCTGTATGAAGTCTTGCTATGACAAATGAGCTACATTAAATGCAGAATGGTAGATCTGAAAAACAATGGCCAAGTTCAGTGTAGAGTAGTTAGAAAATGCATGCATCAAAAGCTATGCTGTGTGCAATATGGCAGGGTACAGACATTAGTTGAAATGGACTGGAGTCATGCAATTATTTGGAAAGAAGCTGCTGGGGAGAATAAAAAAGTGTGGATACCTGTGTGGATCATAGCTTCCTCCATCTTTATTTCCTGATATAGGAAAATACAAGAGTAACTTTTGTTAGTGTTTAGAACTTGTAAAACCATTCACAATGTAGTTTTCCATGCACAGCATCTAATTCCTAAAAAGAAACGTACTGTGTTAAATAAAGGCAGAGCTGCAGTCCAACAAAGATTTCCTGGAAGTTTTATATAAAAAAACTGAAAAACCACAGTTTTTCAAAAATAATAAAACCCCCAAACAAGTCGCTATTGTAAAAAGAGAAATGTTTATAGCTGAAGAAAGAGATACAAATTATGTAGAAGGGAATATTCCTGTAAAAAAAAAAAATCACAATATTAAATCTACCAAATTTAAGTGCAATGAATTCCAGAGTTATGAAGTACAAATACCAGCTATTTTTGTACTCAGAGACTGTTGTAAAGGAATACTGCTTTCCCCAAAAATGGAGGAGACTACTGCTGATCAGAAGTTTGCCTTGTTAAGTCTCAGTTGCGGTGTAGAGCCTGAGGTTGTTCATATAGGCAGACAAGGATGGGAATAAATACAGGATTTAATACCTCACCTGCTACTGGGAGGCAAAAACTAACCAAATAAACCCTGCAACAGAGAAAAGAGTTATGACTGTGAAGATCTGCATATGCTTGTTATTGATTACCTCAGATGACATCATAACCTTTCCACAGCGCTTCTGCCAAATGATGCTGTTTGCCATCAATATCTGCCTAGAATAACCTCTGCAAATTTGCCAAGAAGATTCCTGGTCATGCAGTTCTGCAAGATGGTGTATGTGGATCATTCCAAACCATTCAGGGCAACACTTTGGAGAGTGACACTTCACGGATACAATTAGTACTTAAGCAGATTTAAAAACAAAGGCATAAAATGGAAATAAACGCTTCTATTCTTCTTGTACCTGTTTCAAGTCCCTTTGGCCTTGGATTGCACTGCTTATAACCTTGACAGCTTCGCAGTTCCATTAGCTGTACGTGTAATTGGTTCAAAATGCCTCTTTCCACTGTATGTACTGTATTTGTCAGCTGAGAAAAAGAGGAATGAAGGGAAAAAATAATTGTTAACAGAAATAAAAAACCCCTCTATCCTTCAGTGAGCATCATTTTGTAACAGGAAAAGGGGTTTACCTGGTAGGGATCAATGTTCATATCAAAATATTCCAAGAAGCCAGTCGCGAACTCACAGAAGAGGAAATTGTGGGTGTCATTAACTGTTCGCAGACACCAGTAAGTGTTGTTATTCGAGCTTGTGCACGCACAGAAAGAGCCCACTGGAATTAAAGAAACAGGTTACTAGTTTTCAGTGAAAAATAATGTGCTTGCTTCTTCTACTGGTGAAACTTCTGTAGGTTTTCATGTATTCAAACTCTAGATCAACGTAACAAAGATCTTCTATTTGAATAATATTAGATTCTCATCCAAAACAGAACAGATGTTGCTAATGTGATTTTCACAAACATCCAGTTAACGATAGCAGAAGACAGTGAATCCTATAGTTAATGGGGTATGTTCTGTTCTGAGTTATGCGCGGTTTATTGGGGTTGAGCACAATTCAGACTTTACAAAAAGCCAACACAAATCCTGATCCTTAAGATTCATTGGAATTACTTACTACATATAAGGGTATCATTTACCTCAACAGTAAGTAACTTTAACGTAGCAGAACCTCTGATATGCAAATACAACAGAAAATTACAGAGGTGGGAACATGACAGAGGAAGGTCAAATTGTCAGCTGATATAAAAGTGAGGTGGAAATCCCACAGCAGCAAGAAAGTGAGAGGCAGTGTATGGGAATGAGGCAAGTGAGAGAGACTAGGGAATGAAGATATGGGTTTGTAAGCAGGAAGCTTGCCTGGCACCTTGAATGCAGGAATGATGGAAGAAGGGAGGTGGGAAGGAAGACCAATGCATAATACTGTGCCTCCTTATAAGTCTCTTTCAAAAAAAAAGTTATGTAGTTAAGTGTTGTTTTGAACAGCAATCCATTTTCTTAATTCTATACACAATTAAGAGGGAAATTGAATCACTCAGTCAAGCCTTTATAGGAGAATCCCAAGCAGTGTGACTGGATTACATCTTGTGTTCGCGTTTCAGCCCAGGGAAACCTAGAGCAGGCTTCCCCCCCGACTGAAGACACCTGCATCCAGGTGTCACAGTGGTGGGAGCTGACATAGTTGTGACCTGGGTATAGCTTGTCTATAATCTTGTTCTGCCAGCAGACAAGGCTGTAAGAAAGGTATCACTTTTAAGTTTTAAACAGTTAACAAAGTTTTTCTGTAGAAGAATATATCTTTAATTTAAATAATCAAATATATTAATCACAGAATCACAGAATAGTTTGGGTTGGAAGGGACCTCAAAGACCCTCTAGTTCCAACGCCCCTGCCATGGGCAGGGAAACCTTCCACTAGACCAGGTTGCCCAAAGCCTCATCCAGCCTGGCCTTGAACACTTCCAGGGATGGGGCATCCACAGCTTCTCTGGGCAACCTGTTCCAGTGCCTCACCACCCTCTCCATGAAAAATTTCTTCCTCATACTGAATCTCAATCTACCCTCTTTCAATTTAAAACCATTACCGCCTGTCTTTTCACTACAGGTCCTTGTAACAAGTCTCCCTCCAGCTTTCTCATAGGCCCCCTCCAGGCAATTGAAGGCTGCAATAAGGTCTCCCCGGAGCCTTCTCTTCTCCAGGCTGAACAAGCCCAACTCTCTCAGCCTGTCCCCATAGCAGAGGTGCTCCAGCCCTCTGAGCATCTTCGTGGCCTCCTCTGGACTCGCTCCAACTGGTCGATATCCTTCTTGTGTTGGTTGGGGGCTCCAGACATGGATGCTGAACTCCAGGTGGGGTCTCACCAGAGCAGAGTACAGAGGCAGAATCCCCTCCCTCGACCTGCTGGCCACACTTCTCCTGATACAGCCTAGGATACGGTTGGCTTTCTGGGCTGCCAGCGCACACTGCCGGCTCATGTCCAGCTTTTCATCCACCAGTACCCCCAAGTCCTTCTCCTCAGAGCTGCTCTCTATCCACTCTCCACCCAGCCTGTACTTGTGCTTGGGATTGCCCCAACCCAGGTGCAGGACCTTGCACTTGGCCTTGTTGAACTCCATGAGGTTGGCAGTGGCCCACCTCTGCAGCCTGTCCAGGTCCCTCTGGATGGCATCCCTTTCCTCTAATATTGCCTTAGAGTTTTGTTTATCTTAGATTTCTTATTAATACTGTGACTTGCTGCAACATCGTCAATGTGTTGAACAGAATTCATGAAAAAGGTATTGGCATTGGACCTTTTTGTCTGTGTAAGGTGAATCACTAAATTTTCTTTCAGTTATGGGCTGCATCAAAGAAATATTTTTTTTTTACACCACAACTGTTACTGAAGCACTGCCAGAATGAACAGAAATATGAGAATGCTTTTCATAACTGTTAGCTACTCCACAGTTAAGAAACCAATCTAATGGTTGACTTCACAACAAAAATCATGCATATGACTACTTCAGGAACACTTTAAAATGTAAAAAGCATATTAGCAGAAGTCCTGGTGTAAAAAAAAAAAAATATGCTGTTAGCAAATTTTCTGCTTGGATTCAAATGTGCTGTAACTTGATCATCACTTGATCTTGAAGATTTTGAAAGTAAAGTTTTCAATCACTTTTTTTCCTCCTCTACTGAAGATAAGTGTTGATTTGTTAATGCTGAATACCAAGAAATGTTGAAGCATGCCTGAATAGGATGCTTATCTCTATATCCTGAAGTTTAAAAGAACTTAGAATATTTTCTAGATATAATACTTTATTCATATACATCAGTTGAGTGTTCCACAGCTGTAAGTTTAAAATTCTTTTAGAATATAAGGAAATGGGAATAATGGGAAGAACTCATAAAGAGTAATGTCTGTAATTTCTTCACAATAAGGTAAGTTGTTTACGGTACATTTTGAAATCAAAATGATAAAACTAAAGTATGCCTTTTCAGAGCTGAAGTTTGTGACATTAAAGGTCAAGTCCCAAAAATGATTTGTGACAATTGGAAGAATAAGGTTATTATTAATAATTTGAAACCCAATTAGAATTCATAGGAAATATATGGTCATCTCGATCTCCAAGAGATGACACAAATCTCAGTGGCTGGTTATGAAATTCTGTGCTTTAGAGGCCAACTCTTTTTTTTGTTTGTTTTTTTCTCTACAGTGTTTTAGCATCAAGCCTCTTGTAATAATTTCATTTCAATAAGTAATACAACAATGCCTGTCAGAAAAGGACCTGGGATTGTTGGTCAACAGCAGCTGAAGATGATTCAACAGTGTGCCCAGGTGGCCAAGAAGGCCAATAACATCCTGGCCTGCATCAGGAACAGTGTGGCCAGCGGGACGAGGGCAGCGATTGTCCCCTTGTACTGGGCACTGGTGAGGCTGCACCTCAAGAAGCGTGTTCAGTTTTGGGCCCCTCACTGCCAGACAGACACCGAGGTGCTGGAGCATGTGCAGCAAAGGGCAACGGAGCTGGGGAGGGTCTGGAGAACAAGTTCTATGAGGAGTGGCTGAGGGAGCTGGGGTTGTTCAGCCTGGAGAAGAGGAGGCTCAGGGAGACCTGATCGCTCTCTATCTACCTGAAAGGAGGTTGCAGAGAGGTAGGTGTTTGTCTCTTCTCCCAAGTGACAAGTAATGGGACAAGAGGAAATACCCTCAAGATGCACCAGGGGAGGTTTAGATTGGATATTAGGAAACATTTCCTCACTGAAAGGGTTATCAGGCATTGGAAAAGGCTGCCCAGGGAAGTGGTGGAGTGACCATCCCTGGAGGTATTTAAGAGACATGTAGATGTGGTGCTTAGGGACATGGTTTAGTGGTGGGGTTGGCAGTGTTACATTAACAGTTGGACTTGGTGATCTTAAAGGTCTTTTCCAACTTAAATGATTCTATGACTCTGTAATTCTAATTCCAAGCACCCTGGAGTAACATTCTTCCTTAATAATTCAGAATGAGAGCAGTAGCATTATTAAGTGCCAATTCTTCAAAACACTGCTCTGACTGATTGTATGAAGGGGGAACTCTGTTACACAGCAGAGGATAACCTTGTTCACGTCTGCATGGGGTTGTAAGACTTACAGTTCCAGAATGGTGCTGTTTGCCAGTGGTTGTTGTCATGGGTAAAACATGTCAGTCCAGGAAGGCTACACTCGTCTCCTTTCTTCTGGCGCTTTTTCCCCTTTCTTTCCTTCTTTCTTCTCCGATTCTCTTTGAACAGCTGCAGTTTACCATCCACTTCCTGTGCTGCTTCTCTGTTCAAACAGAAAGTTGGGCATTGATGACAGAGAACTGTCTCTGTTTGGGCAACAACAGCATGAGCAGTTCTTTCTGGCTTTTTAAAAGATGACCTTTTCAAGCTCAGCTTCCACTCCAGCCATTATGACAAGTTGTTCTCTTCAGTAAACATGAAAAATGATGTACTGTTGTGTTTAGGATTAACTGGATCTTTTTAATGATTATGAAGTCAATCAGCTTCTGAAATTATTAATTTCTTCCATTTCTATCAAGAGGTTTTTAAAATACTATTCATAAACTTTCACGTCTATCCAAAACTAATGAAGATTTCTTGGAAGGACTTGCTATATGCGACTTTTTCTTTCCCTCACCTCCCTCCTTCCCCTCTCCATAAAAAAATCCAAACCCTCCAAAATCATATTTTTCCAGTCACCAAAAAGCCAGCTGAGAGAGTGAAATGACAATAACAATCTTACTTGAAGGGATGAAGATGGCTCTTCAGTTTCTCTTGGGCCTTTACACCTTTCTCTTTGTTGTAATAGCTAGAAGGAAAATTATTAGGAATTATCAAGTAATAAAATAATTTTCAACACCAAAACCAAACAGAAACATATCCTCTTTGACATTTTCCTAAAGGACTACACACAATGACTTAAGACTTTTTCTCTTCATTTAAAGAAGTTATAATCTGTGTGAGTGATCCTGTGATAGATTGTAGCTGAGTTCAAATATGTCAGTAGAATACAAGCATATTTAATATTAAAATTTGTACATGCATCTTCTTTTGATTCACAGTAACCTCTACTCTTGAATAAAAGTTCGATCAGGGGGTCCTTTCATTTTCAGCCATTTTGAATCAAGATAGACACCTTGACACTTGAATATCTCTCCAGAGATAGGCTGACTTTGATTTCTTCTCAAGTCAATAGAGAAAAAAGTTCTTCCCAGGAGAGATATAGAGCACAAACATTTAGACTCCTGGAATGAATCAGCTCCCTTTCTCCCCTGACTCTGAGAGGACACCTGAATAGGCTAACCTGAGTCAGGAGTGCCTACAGTGGTCATAAAGATCAATAAAGCTTATGTCCTTTCCATCTCAAAAAACTAGAAAAATGTGTAAGCCTTATCAGTCATCGTAGCTTCCAGTGTTGAATGCCATCTCTCTTACCTCTGTTTACTGCAATCACATTCATCTGGTTTTCTTCTTTTCAGGTGTCCTCTAACTTCCCTCAAATTCTTAATTTTGTCTTGGAGAGCTTCGATCTGTAGAGAGCATTTACGAGTCAGGATTAGTCTTTGCAAAGGCAGCAGTGCAAAGATGTCACTTGGATTTTACAATACCTCTTACCTCCTTATCAATGTAAGCCTTGTGGTCCTTCCAGGCTCTGGCAGATTGGTACAGCTCCCTCTCACAGTGGATAGTGTCATTTGGAAGAATAAAACATCTGTGCATGAGTTTGACAAATAGGAAAAAGAAGGTCAGTGGTTCCCCAGTTGCCTACCTATTTCTTCTTTCTTCCATCATTTCTAATCAACTCTTTGTTATACTCTGTTAAATAAATAAACTCTAAAAGGTCTTCTCATGCTGACTTAATAATATTAATAACATTTTCAATCTGTTTTCTCTGCAAAATGAAAAAAAAAAATCCTCATTGATGACAGATGCTCTGGGCCTGCTAAGCAAAAATACAATGGCAATGCCATTTTGGAGATTCTTAATTCAATAAAAATATGAAATGGAAACTGAAATAAAAATCTGTTCAGAATTTAAAGCCTTGTGTTAACCAAACGTGCCATTGGTTATATAGCCACCAGCTGCTGAGAAAATATTCCTCTTGCCCCATGAATGTGACTCATCTTCCAAGCAAGCAAAATAATCAAGTACAGAAAATACAGTCGATGGGCTAAAGATCCATATAATCAATAAAGATCAATAAGAATCAAAGTTAGAGCAAAGGGTTAAAACAAGTAGCTTAAAAAAAGCCAACAGAACACTCAAGTTTAAAAGTGCTTCAGTGACAAAAACATTCATACCAGTGTTTGAAAAAACAGCTCTATGAAGAGAAAAAAAACATGTGGAAGGCCAAGGAGGTGGACAGAGATAGAAAATCCAGCAGACTACAGGCTCGGCTTTCAAAGTTTCCGTGCTGACAAACAGAAATTCCTCAGTTATGGAAGTATCCAAATTTCATAGACATAACCTTCCTTGGGTCCTGCTTCATTAGAAACTTTCCTTCAGTTTTTGAGGAAAAAGAGCAGAAAGGAAGATTTGGATGCTTATCTCTTCCCATGTTACCTTACTATGTTTTTTTCTTCACTCAAAAAATTCTGAAAGCAATACTGTATTCAGTAGAAGTCAGAACACTTTATGGAGAAATCACAACTTTTCCAGAAAGCTATTTAAATCTTTGTTAATGCCAAAGCCCCAGTTGGAAATGACCAATGTAAAAAAAAGGAAAATCTTTACTTATTCAATATGAACTTCTATGTTTTCCTTGCTGTTTAAGTGGGAAAAAACCCCAAAACCAAAAATACCCAACAAATGAAGAGAGAAGAGCTATTTGTATTTTTAAAACAGTAAAAAGGAGAACATAGAAGTTGTTTGTTGCCTGCATCTGCCTGGTTTTTCAGACCAATCATATTAGCTTTTTTAGACTAAAGAATAATTTGAGATTTTTTTTCCTTTTCATTCAGATTTCGTATAGGGCTAAAAATTGAAATCTAAACATCTTCCAGGGTGGAAAGATGATTGTGGGTACTTTTGAACATAAACAGGTCTAATGTATGTTAACTAATGTTAGTGACTGCAAACAACTAAGCATTAAGAAAGATGATGTAACTGACCTAAACTGTGTTCATTCAGAGTGGGATTTCTCTTGCCTCAAATTCAGGCCTCTATCCTAAGCTGGTAGCCTAGACTTTATAAAGAACAGCAGGAGTGTCAGCTTCATGGGGTGATTAATCCATCATAAGATGCATCTTTTGATATGGAGGATGAATCTCCCTCTGGAGATGCCCACTCCTCCTCATAAATAAATCCTAAACTAGATGCCTCTCTTTAAAACACACATACTGAAGTTAAATGATTCCACCTAATAACAAATACAACTCGGGCTTATCTAAAATCTACAGCGGTAGTTTTAAGTTCTTAAATATTGTAACCATAAAATCATAAATAATGGGAAGAGAGCAAATGCAATTAGAAAACAAAGGTTTCATTTTAAGATAAAAATACACAGAAAAAGCAATTGTACTTGTGCGTCACTCTGACGGAGTTGGGTTGACCTAAGGCATCAGTGCCATCAGCAATCATTGTGTCACCAGGAGCACCATCGGCTTCCTCTGCTTCTTCCTCATTTTCAGTGTTGTGACGCTTGGTGATGCTTTTGGTCTTTAACACCTGCAGTTCTTCCTCTTCCAGATTTATGTCATATATTTCACCTTCGAATTCCACAGACAAGGACCGGGTTTGGCGAGTGTGAACAAATCGGGGTTTGTACTCTGTAGCAGAAGAAAGAAGCATTCCTTGTTGGATATACTTACCTACATGACCCGTGCCATGAGCACACAGCATACTCTAAAGAGCAAGAATGCTATTCAGTAAAGACAGCTTATTTTTTAATTTGGCTTTAAAAAAACGTATTTAACAAGTTTTGATACGTTAAGGTCCACACTTACATGTGTAACATGAAATTTTGATTGCTTCAAGATTTGCATTTCATGTTAGTCTGACCTTATGCCACAGTTAGCATCTATATACACAAATAAAACCAGTATCTTAGAAATCATATATCTAGAAAGAGATATTAAAAAATCAGAGACCACAGAATTAGAAACCACTTCAGAAAATTAAAACATTTGGTACTACGAAACAAGGTCACCACCTGTGAACTGGCATGTAATATAGGTTTGACTTATGCTTGAGGATGAAGATGGCTTTTTGAAAGGTTAACAGCTTTTCCTTTTTAGAGGTAGGCATTAGAAGGGCAAGAATCCGTCACATATCAGCATATATCTATCTATGTGCTTATATGAATACATATACTTCTACAAGTATGAAATGGGATCTGTAAGAAAGTACTGTCTTTGAGTACTCCTTCCACTAGACCAGGTTG